AGACCTTTTTGTGACAAGTGGCATTCCCCTCTCCCCTTAGAAGGGGAAAAAAAGATCATTTCTATTTCCTTGTAATTGTTGCAACTAGTGACAACTTCCCACATTGGACATATTGGGAAATTTCATTTTAGAAACCAAGAATTAGACTCTTGCTAAGTAATGGCTGGATTTGTCTTGTTTACTATACTGTGAAGGCTTTCTGGCTTTTTTCTCTTTTGTTCTTCACTAACCTTGATTGTGCTTCCTGATTCTATACCTGTTCTGTATACATAGTAATCCAACAAGCTGAGCAAAGCCAGAGGAATGAAGATTGTGCCTAGATAAGGCTGAGCCAGGAAGAAATGGGCACTGTGGCACAGTGGAGAAGGGGCAACCCTTGGAGGAGTCCCTTTTAACTAAATAAAGGATGGCTCCAGTGTGACTAGATTTGATTTGCAAAGGAATACTGAGAAGCCAGATCCTTTGAAGGAATACTATGTTGTTCAAACAGTATGGGTCAAGTTTGTGTTGGACTTCATTGGGCTTTCTCTGCACCACACATTAAATGGAGACTGCCTTTTACTTTTTTTTTTTTAATGCAAAAGCTATTTGAATGCAAAGTCCATTCTACTTTACCAAACGAAAATAATTCGAGTTAGTATTCAACCAAAGGACATCAGTTTTGGATCATCTGCAAACACATTCTTAGGCATGTACCCTCCTGTAACACAGGATCTAGAAGAACCCAAGAAGAAATGACTCTCTGTATCTTCAAATAAGATTTGCATCTTGGCCTAATGGTTGGAAGGCAAATGTTAGATTCCCAGAGCTTATCATGATTATTATCTATTATTGTTTCCATTTGTGTCTTCCCCAGTCTGTTGGCATCTAATCTAACAAGCAAGACAAAAAGCATCTTATTTCAGGATTCTGCACTCACTTCCCACGCTCTGTTAGTTCTCTATTTTGTTTTCCTCTTCATTGTTCTAGCCTCTCCTGTGAATCTCCTGTCTCTTCATCCGGTTTGCTTCATGCAGCCTTCATCAAAAGCTTGTTCTTTACACTCCTGGAATGTCAGGGAGGCAAACATGTGCCGTATCTAGTAGAGACGTTTAGAACATAGAGGGAGGTGAACATAAAATTACCTTATTAGCTCCCTTTTTTGCTTATGTAGGCTTGACTTCAACCACCACCTTTGGACCTCTGATCCCACTCCACACCTCTCATATTGTTAGACCAGAGGATGTTACTGCTCTCTGTAGCAGGATCTAGCAAAAAATGTGTGATTTGAACACTCAGAGAACCATACTTCTCTTTGTGGATTAATTGATGGTTTGTCAGTGTGGTTTGCAAATATTGAAAAGATACTTGTTTGAGCAATATTTAAAACATAGATGAGTATAAGGAGGCAGGCAGATGGGAGGGGGGAAGCTGAGCAGTAGCAAGAAGTGGGCACTGGGGACATTGGAGAAGGTGTACCTCTTGAGGAGTTCCTTTTAGCTATATGAAAGATGGCTCCAGTGTGACCACATTTGATTTACCAAGGAAAACTGAAAATCCAGATCTTTTTTAAAATATGAAATTGCATGTTGGTGTCTGTTTCCAGTTTCTTAAGGAATACTGTGTGGTCAGACAGTATTGGCCAACTTGCATGCTCAGCTCCCCTGGGTTTTCTCTGCTCATAGAGGAGCGACAACACCATATATATTACATGGCGACTACATCTCTACTTATTTCTTTAATGCAGAAGCCATTTGACATTGAGCTTATAGATTTTCCCTCCTTGGAATTCAGTTAATCTTCTATTTAAGAAGGGGATGAGGTGCTGGAGAGATGGCAGGTCTTCTAGAAGAACTGGGTTCAATCCCCAGCACCCATATGACAGCTCATAACCATCTGTCAGGCAGTGCACAAGATCGTCTGGGTCAGACTGACCTTCTTGCCTGAGGAAAGTCCTTGATTCTTAAACCCAGCAGGGTAAATGGCACTGTGGCAACTAAGAGTGAACACATTCACCCTACTGCATTTGATCCTAGTCAAAATGAGGCAATGAAATGTACACTTACTAGGAGCCACTTTTCCCTTCCCACCAGTAGGGTTAAATCTATACGAGCAGTTAAGAGCTTCGATCCCGCAAACTATGAGAGCCCTAAATAAAAATGGCAGTTCTCCACAGGACAGCAACAAATTAATTCTGAGTGATCCCTGTTGAGATCAGACATTTTTTGGCTACTATTTACATTCAATGGTGTGTGCTTGATCCAGTAATTTGCTTCAACAACTAACGCATAGGTTATATAATAGTTTAACAACAACAACAACAACAACAAAACGATTTAAACTCCAGGAAGAACAGCAGCACAAGGAATTAATTGCATCCTGTGGACCATAAACTAAGACAATTTTCCTTGCTGGGGTTGGTGATTCTTTTATTGGTGCTTCAGAATTGTTCTACACAACCACCTCAAAGTCCAGGTCATTAGACTCCTGGCAGGAAGCAGAAAGCCTTCAAATCAATTGTAGGGAGAGCCCAGATACCCTCGTATGGAAGTGCTCTTCTGAAATCTAACTATCTGTGGATCGTAATACCAAGGAGCCCCATGTCCCATGCAAGAAAAAGCAGTTGGTGTTATTCCCTAAAGAGAATGGGAGGCTCTCACTGTGCACCAGCACTTTCCTTGTGAGCCACACATCTTTATGCCTAATCTATCTTATTACGTCAGTTCCTCACTTGAAAACAACCACAGGGGCTGAGGAGCTGGCAAAGTCCACCCTGTGCAAGCGTGAGGACCAACCCCCAGGATCCATGGAGAAAGGCAGGTGTGGGCATATGCATTTGTAATCCGAGTGCTGGGGAGTACGAGGGAGGGAGATCCCTGAAGCAGACTAGCCAGACAGCATGGAAGAATTGGTGATCTCCCATAAGAGACCTGTCTCAAAAAACAAGGTCTGAGCAGCAGTACTCAGGGTTGAGCCCTGGCTTCCACAATGTGCACGCACACCCCTCACCTGCATGTATCCACACACAAAGTCACATCAACTCCATATCTCTCATTCACTTAGAATAAGCAGCATGTGCTTTGTTGGGGCAAGCAGAGTCCTCATGACCTTTCACCCCACCTTGCTCTCTGACCCACCCATGGCTTGTCTTGATTTGCTCTTTCAGTGCCGGCTGTGCAGCTCTGTGTCTGGTTCTCAAACATTTAGACCTTTTTTATGACTCAGGACTTTTGTTCTTGTCGTTTCTTTCCCCCAGAGATCTCTTTCTCCTTGCCCTCTCCTTCCTCCCCAGTGTTCTCTGCATCTTCAGGGTGGTCCTCTTGGACTATTAAAAATTCACACACCTATTTTCCCCCAAGTTACTATTTATCCTCACAAGTGGTTTTATTTCTACATAGGATTTGTCAAGATCTAGAAATTTATTATTGATTCCCTTGTATATTGGCTTAAAATTGTACTTTCCCTGAAAGCACACTTCACTGGAGGGGAAGATGTCTCTCCCTCTAGGTCAGTTAGAAGCCTAATGCTTAACCACTGGATGGGTTGTGTGGACATTCTGGGTCTTAACTTTACCAACAGTCAAATAGAAGGATGGTATCTCCCGTGGAGGAAGGTGATAAGAAATAAGTAGAGCCACCTAGGCCTTAGCTAGGACCTCATCCCTCATCCCCCATCCCCTTTACAATCCTGAAACTAAATAACCAGGGTTCATTTTTCATCATCACTTGAGCAATGTTCCATTATTTAATATCTCCTAGAATATATGATTTAATGCTTATTGTAGAAACATGTGATACATAATATATGTGGTTCATTTTTTTCTTTGTGTGAGCTCTTATCTCTTTAAACAGTCAATGACCATCTTCATCTAAACTTTACTACATTATTTTCAGGTTTATATCTTACTCTTTGTGACTCCTTAAAACACCTTAAAACAATTCTCAGAATTCATTTTGGATTTGGCAGCCTTACACTCCACTATACCGTTCTTCATTTAACCTTTGCCTTTGAGTTTTCTACTCCACATGACTAGCACTACCTGAATCTCTTTGTGCACAAGCATGCTGTGACACCTCTTTTTATGTTCTTGGAGCTGAGACACAGTGAGTAGGATTCATCTGTTTATGGAGGCCCTCTGTGTTAGTGGCTCCGTTTGCTGTGCACTGTGGGGGGAATTCCAAACACTTTGAAGACTTGTCTGTGGCCAAGGAGAGAATGGGAAGCAGCCACAGCCAGCGTAAACTTAGCTAGGCGCTAAATGACGTGGATACAGGCAAGGTGCTGGCGAGGTTTGACAAATAAAATCTATAAAGAGAGCAATAGCTAGAATATTGCTTGGAGCTGGTGATTAGACTGGCTGTGGCCTGGGAAAGTGGTTTGGAAGAGAAGAGAAGATCCTGGGGTGCAGAGGGTGCACAAGAGTGAAGGTGGGGAGGCAGGAACAAGCCAACAGAGAGCAGTCTGGTCTGCCGCCCAGAGTCCTGCGCAGAGGAGGTGAGGCAGCCTGGATAAAACCAGGAGTGAGAAAGCTGTAGTCATGCGCTGGGCACTTAGATGGAGGCTAAGTATTATTACCGTGATTCCAAGCACATGGGGGGCTGCTCTGAACAACAATATGAGCCATTTGTACAAAAGGCTGAAATGGAATCCAAATAACAGGTCGCACTGCTCCAAGTCTCTTCCTCCTGCTGCAGTTAACGTTTTACTACCCGGCTGAGTAACTAATGAATCTGGCCGCTGTAAATCCCCAGGCACAAATCTCTGCTTGGGGTCTGTGTCTAGACATCCAGACCAGAGCCCAATTTGCACTTTGAACATCCAGTCCCTTATCACTTGTGGGAAATCAGCTTTAATGGGGAAGATGTGGAGGTGTCATTTTACTGACCCTGCCTTTGGCACCTGGGGGTAGACAGGGCTCCCTGGATAATGACTGCATTAGGGGACTGGAAGTTCCAGAAGGGGTTTGTTATGAGACTCCGCTGTTCACAGTCATTGACTGGGAAGCCTCTGTCTCATTGCAGGCTGTGCTTTGTGAAGCTGAAACTCCTGATGATAGCCATTGAGTACAAGTCTGCCAACCGGGAGAGCCGGTAAGTTGACCTTCATGTTTGAAGTGTTTATCCCGGGAGGGGTCCCGTCCACTTCCTCTTTCTCGCTTTATGAATTATTTACTTGGAACCCAGTGCAGCACCTCCAGAATCCTGCAAAACATTTCAAGACACTGCAGCTTCTATTTCAGACCAGGCTGTCACCCCATACTCCACTGGACACCCAGACATTTCTCTGGAAGACAGGAGAGGGTAGCTCCACCCACTATGCTATAGATACCCTTTACACAAGAAAGCAGGAATGGAAGGACTCTCTCTTGAAGTTCTTTTTACTGCTGTAAGCAAAAAGCAGGTGGCCTCAGGCCTTCTTTCCAGCAGCCTGCAGTAGAGTGGTAATGGGAGGGGCCAGCTCTCTCAGTAGCCGATCTGTAAGCAGCCTATTGTGGACCATATGTGTTTCTCCCACTGCAGCCATAGCCAGGTGGCAGAATATCAGCTTCATGTAAATTAGCCAGAAGAGAAGAGCTCTGAGGCAGGAGCTCTCATCATTTATTTATTTTTTACTTAATGATGTGCAAATCAGACCAGTGAGGGACAAGGTCTGGTTGAAATAGATAACACCCCAGTCGATAACATGACCTTACTGCTGGTTGGTGGCAGCAATGTCTGAGCAGGAATCTGGTAGTGGTGGTGGGAGGTCCTAGGTGCCTCGTTGATAACACAGATAATCTTGGATCCTCAATTCTTACTCATAGTTTGGGGAGAAAGATAGCTGGTTAAAAGATAGCCTGACTTTTGTTCTCTGAAACGATGTATCCAGATGCTGTACCTGCTCTAGCAAGGCTTTTGCTCCTACATGTTCACAGGGTCAGAAGGGCAGCCCACCCACCTCAATACATGTCTTCATAACCAAACAGAATGCAGGACAACACTTAAAAAGTTCTTCTAGCTTCATTCAAGGAGTTTGGTCAGTCTTGATAAATGACCACACACACACACACAAACACACATGCCTATTTCCAAATATGTGTCTGTGACGTAAACAAAAGGAACACTGGATCACAGGCAAGTGAATCCTCTGTTGTCCCTCCCCTTAACTGTCATGTCAGATTGTCCACAGCCAATCTGATCAAATGCTGAGTTACTTTGAAAATCCAAATCAACCAGACAATGGAAGAGAAAATGGTGGATTTGGTGTCCTTTTGTAGAATGCTGTGGTATCAATTTCAAAACTATGCATGGAAGGATACATTTTTCTTTTCCTTGTTGGCAAAGGAAAGACTATTAAAAGTATTATTTGAGCCCAAGAGAGCCATGGCCATTTGTCTGTCAAGAGTTAAAGTGGGATTTGCTAGAGTTACCATTAGCCCACCTTTATACTATAGCCTTACCTGGATCCACATGTGTGGAGGAAGGACTGTGGGTCCTTGGATTTTTTTGGGGGGGTGGGGTAGGTTGTGAATGGCAATCTTTGTGGATCAGAGGACCTTTCTCTATTGCTTTTGTGCATCTCTCTCCAAACAAACATAAAGGAAAGGAAGGAAGGGAGGGAGGAAGGGAGGGAGGGAGGGAGGGAGGGAGGGAGGGAGGGAGGGAGGGAGGGAGGAAAAGGATCTCTGCGTAGGTGGTATTGATGAGTATTTTCTGGAATGATCTCACAGCGGCACTGAGCCATGAGCATCAGCCATTCAGCTCCCACTTACCACCCTTTGGTCCCAGGAAAGAGAGGTGCCACTAGAGGCCAGGCACTATTCTAAGGAAACAGATTTCAGGTCCCAGGAAAACACAGCCTTCTCTTTGACAGGGCCTCTCATTGATTCATAAACCTGAGCTGTTTCCAACAAAGCTGTGTTTAGAGATATAGGTTGTGGATTTTGTTTTCCCTCCTAGTGCCCCCAGAAAAGGCAAAAAAAGAACTTGTCTGGCTTTGTATTGGCTTTTTGTGTGCAGTTGCCAGCATTAATCCTCAGTGTGGCTTGGTCTCAGTGTGGAAGCACGTGAGTGCTGTGGAAAAGGTGTGCTGGAGGGAACGTGGCTCGTCCCCCACAAAACACAAGATGTACTCAACAAAGCGTCTAAGTCCAAAGCGCACTTTTGTTTTTATATCCTTGTGAGAGAACTAGTCCTCGTCCTCTCACGTTTTGTAATGGACAAGGTATGGAAATCTAGAGAAGCTGCTTCTCTTCCCACTTCCTACCTCTGACCAATGTTTGAGGTTCTTCTCTGTTGTTGGCTCCACCCATGATCCTGTTTCCATGCTTTGCTGATAAACCTTGTTTTCACACGCATCCTTCAAATGATTTGAAACAAAGGTTTTATTCCTTCCTTCCTCCTGGTGTCAGTCAATTTATTATCAAATTGTTTGATTTGAAATTCTTTTCTTGTCGTTTTGCAGAAGCCGAAAGCGGTATGCATTCTTCGTTAACTTTCCTTCCAACCTCCACCCTCTGTCTCCACTCCTAACCACAGGACTAACCATTTGCCAAGAACTCAAGAAGAGAGATTATATATATGGATATATAATCTCATTCCCTTGTCTAGTATATATATATAGTATATCTATACATATATATATATTTTATACATATGTATCACCCGTCTCCCACTAGAATACATAAAAGTAGCCTGCTGCTGTCCTTGTTTGATTTGTTGATTCTTTTGGTTGATGCACTAACTTCTTTGCAGGAAAACTAAAATAAATAGGTAAAAAGGTAAACAGAAAGGCATAGATTGTCTTCAATCTTAGCACTAATGATGAAAACAAATAATATTCAACTTGAAAAGGAGACTGTTTCTCTCCAGCCCTCTGTGTCTGTTTCTGTACTGTCCTGATGTTGTCCTAGTATCCATCAGATGCGGGCACCATTTTGTCTTCATCCCACATCCACATTCCCAGTGACCTTCTCGCCCCTCTGTTGAGTTTCCACTTTGTCAATCAGTTTCTGTCCTTTATCCACAAAACAGAGACCAAGCCCTAGCACCTCACCCTTTCCTCATTCTTGTTTGGGTTGATTTCATTTTGACTATCTAATTTCTTGAGCAGTTCTCTGTAGAGACTTAAAATGCCAGCACTGAACTGCCTAGCTGTGTATTTGTGTTCTACAGTAAGCACTGTTTGTTGGGACAAACTCATGGTTTCTTTTGCCCCTTGTGTATTTGGCACATTTCTTAGTAGGAAGTATCTCAGCTTTTACCATGTCACTTCATCCTGTTTTGCCGCTGTTTTGTGTTGCATGAAGCATGACTAAATTATTATCAATGGCGTTTTTTTTATTATTTGGGTTTGGGGTGATTGTTTTGTTGTTGTTACATTTTTCAGCATAGTTTTTTTACAAGGCATTCTCTAAGACAGTACTGTTGAAAAGAGACTGCGACAATGCCGACCTCTTCATGTTCTTCTCCGTGGTTGTAGTCACTGTCATGTGTTTGTGTTTATACTTGTGTGTTTGTGTTGTCTGGGATTCTTTCCAACGTCAGATCTTCTGTGATTTTTTTTTAGTAGATGTGAATAAATAGAGGTGGCTTCCTGTCAGTTTGGTATTATTGATATGATCCAACTGCGAGAAGTTATTGCAACACTATGCATCTTCAGAGGTCCACAGTGGTTGCACCTCTGCTGTTGGCTTCTGGCCTGGGGCCCTTTTACTTTGTGGTGAAGGCATGTTGTGATATGGGCATGACTTGTCTTAACGTGTACCAGAGAGTATGGCTTGCTCCCAGAACCACATGTCCAGTGCTATCTTTCCTAGATCAGCTCTCTAGCCTCTCCCATGTAGCTAGTCTTCTTTTACTCTACAAATATATGGAAATTTTACTTTTAAGATTATTGATGTAGACTTGGGCTAAATCATATATTGCCAATATTGTTGTGGACCACAGTGATGGTCATTTGAGTCTGACCAGCTGGGAGCAACCTTGATTATGGTGTCTCTGTATGTAAGTAAACTAGGCCTATGCATATTGAAGCATGGAATACACACCTGTGTCTTCTACACATATTCTAATGTAAATGCATGTGTCTAGTTGTGTGGGACTCCAGCAGCACTTATTGAAAAGCCCAGAAGAAATGGAAAGTTCCAGAGAAGTGATGAGGTTTGAGATTTGGGTTTTTTCTAAGCTATGTCATAACACAACACAAACTGCAGTGCAGTTGAACTTCCTGAGAGGGGACAGAAATTGGTTTGAATCAAGTTCCTGCTGACAGTAATTGTCCATGAACTTGAGTGATAAGAGAGACCTCTTCCCAGTGGTGTGAGTCAGCAGGGCATAGCATGAACTGAGCTCCTCAGTGGTTCTGACTTTCTTACTCTGTTTAATGAAGTCCCATTAGCTTGCTAGACACAACTGTGATCATAATGTTTCCAAGTATAAACTATACCTTCACAGAAGTGGTGATATTTTCTCAATTGCTTGGGGAATGGTACACGATGCCTCAAGGGGGTGGATGGGGACAAAACTACACACACACACACACACACACACACACACACACATGCATGCACGCAGTCTGTTTGTCCATAGTGGATGAAAGTCTTCTTTAAGGTATCTGTTTCAGTTGAGTTACTAGTCATTGGCCATTCCCCCTAACAAAGGTAAGGATTAGGAGGACTGAAGGAAGGATTACTAAATAATTCTGCAGCTGTTGCTCCTTAAGTATTGGAGAGAAGAAAAAGAATATTTCTCCCCACCTAGTCCTGATTTTTTTTTTCAATCTGCCGCAAGTTCAAGCATAAGATAGTCAATGTAATGTCTGCCCTAGAGCCCTGATAAAAACATGTCCCATTGGATAGAGCCCATTCTGTGTGGATATGTTCTGCAATCAGAAACATGCATTTCAGTTCTAAGTGAGTTGTGCTTTCAGTATTGAAACCAATTGCTCCAGCTGCCTAAGTGACATATTTGCATATTTGTATATTTATACTTAATGCCTCTGGGAACTTAGCTTGGTGGCCAATCTACAAGAAGACTTGTGGTCACGCATTTGATCAGGCTGACTGATGAGAATCGCAATAGTTGTTACTTTCATTTATTGGAGAGAAAAAGAGAAACTTGGAGAACTGAGGCCAGTTTCCATTCATTCTACAGATCTAGAAAATGCCTGTAGCATGTAGGACTCCCAAAGTTCTACTAAGAAAAACTCAGAAGTATGGGGCTGGAGAGATGGCTCAGAGGTTAAGAGCATTGCCTGCTCTTCCAAAGGTCCTGAGTTCAATTCCCAGCAACCACATGGTGGCTCACAACCATCTGTAATGGGGTCTGGTGCTGTCTTCTGGCCTGCAGGCATACACACAGACAGAATATTGTATACATAATAAATAAAAAAATATTTTAAAAAAAAAGAAAAACTCAGAAGTAAACGGGGATCCTGTTTCCCAGTCTTCCAACCAGCAGTGATCTCTTACAGAAAGTGTATGCTTTGCTCTTGTGAAGGGTAAGCAGACGAAGAATAAGCTTTGCTGCAGACCTAGGAAAAGCAATGAGCGAGAATTCATGGAGATGGGACCACACAAGCCTTGTGCTGCCAGCTCTCACTAGGCATTTTCAGTGGAAGTCAGCAAGGTCATGGGGGAAAAGGGGGGATAATTTATATCTTCCTTGAAATGAGGAAATGTCTCTGCCAAGACGTCCTTGTTGGAATTCTGCTAATGGATGCGCAGGAAGAAAGGCCTCTCCCGATAGGAGACTCCTCTTGGAGATTTCCTTGATTCTCCGCATGACACATCTTGAGTTTTATCTCTGATAAGCTTATGACTTAAACAAAATTGGAGCCAGAAAATTGATTAAAAGTGGTGCTTGTGGAGGAAGGTGTTTGGCAGCCATAAGAACAAAACAAACTTGACATTGAATAGTCTCCTAAAAAGATTTGCCAAAAAACAAACAAAAAAGTTAACATTCCTAGTAAGTCAATAGCAAATTTTAAGTCTAAAAGGCATTTTGTAAGGAGAGGAAAAAGTTATTCCTGCCTAGAATTCATATCTTTTTGCATTTCTCAGATGAAGAAGACTAGCATTTATTTAAATGTTTCTAGATTTGGAATGCAGGTAACAGTTATGCAATCTGAAATACTAAAATCAGGAATGTATTTCTCCAAAGAGGCTGTAAAATTCACAAGTCACCTAGGAAACTTCCTATGTTGTGGGTCCCAGGAATCAGAGGCCTGTTCTTCACTACCCTTAGAGCTCAGTCTAGCCTGTGCCACACGGAGCACCTGGCTGATGGACTTCCTATTTTTTTTTTCCTGCATGGGCTCATTCTTTTGACTCCCTCAAATGAACCGACCCAAGCCTGTCTTAACCTAGCCTCTATAGCTGCCTCATACTTCATATGCATACAAGTTTAATCTTTGCACCCTGTCCATAGGGCACATGAGGGTATTTGGGGATCCCAAGAGCTCTGGGGACAGGAGATGCTGTCTATCTCTTGCATATCACCATACAACTCAAGGAATGGAGTGACTTTGATTTGTAGCACAAGGTAAATCTGTAGTAACCCATTTCTAGATGTTGCCCAGAGACCACACCTTCCCAAGGGTTCTGTTAGCATTGAATACAAAATTGAGAGTAGGCCAATGGAGGTGTGAGGGCTTCTTTATTCTGACGTTTTTAGTCACCTTGCTTATATTTATAGAAACCAAAGATGAAGGACATAGACTATAGCCTTTATTCTCTTAGGAACATTGTCAGTCAGGTATTATTCTTTGCATTTTATAGTTTAGGAGGGTAAGAGCTAGCTTCCTTCAAAGCCAGGATCCAGTGGTTATGATGCATGCACCTAAGTGCTTCACTAACACTGATGGCTAGGGAAGCTGAGGCTGGTGCAACAGGTTGATCTCCACCAGCACTGACTTGATTAAAAGATGCTTGAAGACTGCAGCAAGCCACTTCGACATGCATTCTCTAGACTGCAATCCCTGATGTCACCGCAGGCCAATTCTTGTTCAGTCAGTGCAGATAAAGACCAGAGGAAACTGAAAAACCTCTGTGGCTAGGAACCCTGAGATCACCACATTTCATAGTGACTCAGTGGACTGGATCACCATGTGTTGTAATAGGAGCGGCAGGCTGCGTCCCCAGCACCCCGGCCGCCGGCTAGCTTATGCCCTGAAATAACAACACGGAAACTGTATTCTTTTAAACACTGCTTGGCCCATTAGTTCCAGCCTCTTCTCAGCTAACTCTCGTACCTGGACTAGCCCATTTTTAATAATGTGTGTAGCCCACGAGGTGGCTTACCAGAGAAGATCTTAACCTGTGTCTGTCTGGAGTGGGAGAATCATGGTGACTCCCTGACTCAGCTTCTTTCTCCCAGCATTCTGTTTTGCCTACTCCACCCACCTAAGAGATGGCCTATCAAAATGGGCCAAGACAGTTTCTTTATTAGCCAATGACCTTCCTCCATCAACCATGGGACAGATAATGTGGCACGAAGCATGAGAATAGGAAGCACAGCTTTTTGGACATAAATGTCTGACCAAGACAACATGTGTCAAATTTTACCTTCCATGTTCTGTTGTTCGAGTCGTGATAGAACCCCACCCAGCCAGCCAGCTCAGGATCCCTTCCACTCCTATGTGGATTCTTAGCAAAATAGAGGCTTCCCAAACTTTGGGGAACATACTTTTAAGACTCCAGAAGTGTGTGGGAATTTTTTAATAGAAGTACTCATGCATTATTCTATCATGTATAGTTTTTAATTCTGTCACTTCATCACAGAGGATATTTTTGATAAGAAGCACAGTTTTCCAGTCCACCGAGCCACGAGACCTCTGATGGAATGTAATATACTTGGACATTTTTACAGGGATGACCTGGTAACAGTAACCATAATCAAAGGCATCAAGCTCTTTAGACATTATCTTCTTTGACAAATGGTTATTGTTAGTCTTAATGCACCTCTCATAGGGAAAAGCAGTTGAATTCTTGGTAGGTTTAGGAACTTACCCCAAATTACCACTTCAATGCTGGAATATGAACCCAATTTATGATTGCAGAGGCAGTCACATAGGAACTGCCTTTCAGGAAAACAAGGCAAAGATTGTACAAAATCTAGAACCCTGTGATCCTAAAATGCCTTACTTAGGTGATTTTGAAAAGGAAATCAATATAAACTATATAATCTCACGTGCACCTTAATGAGCACAAACTAATTTTTACATTCATTTAACTGCAAAAATTTGTATAATCTCTGACACCTCTGCCTCATGACTGTGCTAAATGAGAAGGCTTGTGATATGGGTGTGGGAATTGGCAGAGGAGTCATGATAAGGTCTCTTTGTAAAACCTCTGCCTTTTGCAGTGTGTCCTTAGTGCAGACCACAGGCCCATTAGGATGGACTGATGAGTTCTGATGTGGAAGGAACCTCATTGCTGCTGGTGGTTCTGGGGAAGAGCGGTCGCCTCTTTATTCTCTCTTATTTAGTGTTAACAGCAGCCATGGCAATGGCGCAAGCCCCGCTTCCCGCTGTCAGGTCTTGTAGGCAATGGTAGGTGCTCTTGTACTGTTTCGCAGCTATGAACAGAAACCTCAGGGTGATGATCTGATCAGAATTCTCCCAACAGTGCAGAAGTTCACCTGGGCTCTCTCTGTTTTGCTGCAGAGAGAGAGAGAGAGAGAGAGAGAGAGCTACTTTGACAACACTATCTCCTGAATCTTACCACTACAGAAAGATCACATATTAATTTTTCCCCTCCCCCAGCTGGGGGTCTTCAGTGAACCGGAGCCCAAACCTCTTTTGCCTTAATCACTAGCTTTTTATATCAAATAATGGTGCTATTGTCTTTTGCTTCATCCCAAGTCTCTAAATTCTACACCTGTTATACACAATGCCTCATCACTATTTCTGCATAGGACAACACAGTACTCTGCTTTTGATCAGCAGAAACTTGACTGTTTCTCTCATTTATTAGATTAGGATCCTTTGATCTCTATGCCACCCCCAATATAACTTGGCCAGCTAGTCCATATCTATCTAGCACTTGTAGGGCTGTGCATATTTAGATTTATATATCCCTACAAGACAAGGCAGTTGTTTTGTTTCTGTTTTTAGAGATAATTTTCATTTGTCTTTAAGCTGCAGTGGGCCCCAATGACAGAATACTATTTTTATATCTCATTCACAGAACCCATCCATTTTTATAAAAAGCAGACTGGAATCATTGCGTATATTTGACAGATAATAGCTTTCTTTATCAGTATGTAGATCGTGTTCTTCATAGAGTCTGCTTACAAGTCCTTATCAAAGCCTCAAAGATGTGCGGTTTCATTATGCATTACATGTATCATAGGTGTCTTGTACCATTCCCCATGGAAATATGTGGTATGTATATATGTATGTTTCTGTATACACATAGGGGTCCCATTAATGCTCAATCACCTAAGGGGAAGTGGGGGTTGCATAGAACTTCATTAGGCTGAGTGTGTTTCAAAACTGACCATCAAAATCAGTTTCTAAATGGATCCATCCTGAAGATTGTACTTCTGGGAGCAGCTAAGCAGCTCCATTAAGCAAACCTAGACCCTAAGATCCAGACCTTTGATGGCCCTGACTTGGAGTGTGCTACCTGGAGCTAAATTATGGCATGATTGAACTAGATGTGTGGCCCAGTGAATGTCAGGCTCTAAGGAAAGGTCTAAGGAACAAGACGATTGGGGCCCCTATCAAGGCAACAGGATGGTGTCGTCATCAAGTCTTTATCCTGAACCCCAGCTCACACTTTTGTCTTTTTTGTTTGTTTCTGTTCATTGAGCAGAATATTAATTAACCCTGGGAACCACCTTAAGATCCAAGAAGGTACTTTAGGATTTTTCATCGCAAGTGATGCCAAAGAAGTTAAAAGGTAAGAGTTAATTTTTATCTGCTTTCTTTCTGGTCCAACCCCAGACACTTAGATCTACTGAGACCTGCATGCTCCATATGTCCAAGACTCTAACTCCAGAAGTAGTAATTGCTTCCTAGGGTGTCTTTTCCCACAGTCAGTTCCCTGTCTTTAAGTCAGAATACAAAAAGTTTAGATCAGGAAGCATCGTTATCTGCCCCTTCATCTTACAAGGAAAGAAACTGAGGCCCAGAAAGCAGAAGTGACTTCAAATCATTCTAAGTCTTTCTGTTCTGAAGGAGATGCACAGGACTTCTGGCCCCTGTCTGAGGTAATTTTCCTAATATTGTATGGGTAAATGTCCTTGCATATGTTCTGATGTAAATGCCAAGAAGAACTTCAAACAGTTTGGATTAATTTTCGGTGCAACATCAAAATGCCCCTATCTGTGCTCACAACTTTCTAAGCCCTGGCTAACATTGTCAGCTTCAGTTGGGAAGCATCTTTAGGTCTAGTATGAGGCTAGCACCAAGCTCCACATTTCTTAAAATTTTTTATTAATGTCTTTATTCCTATTTAAGTAACTTAGGGAATCACAGGACTTTGCATATCAATTTAGACTTTTGTTTATATTTGATTTTATTCCACCAACTCCATAACTTTTGCTTTCAGAAAATATGATATAATTAATCAAGAAAAGTTACTCAACTGAATAATTGTGTTACATATTTTAAATCAATACTTACTATGAGTGTCTTCAATTCTTTGTGGATGCCCATTGTCTTCTATTGAGTCCCCACTCAGAGCCAGGTCCATACGACGTGTGCCTATTCTTTATGCTAACCCTCAAAAATTACCCCAGAAATAGAAGTCAGTCTGCTAAAGTGCTCAGAACTCTGGCCTTCTTGTCTGTAAAAGGCCAACACCTACTTACTCTGCACCACTGCTGCTCTGGGTACTAATGGGTTTCTTTGTGTTCATGACGTCACCCAGCCTTAGAGTTCCTTCTTTGTCTAGGAAGGAACTAAAACATGGCTTCATTGGCCAGCTTGTGCAAAGTCACTGTGCTAGTGAGACATAACAAGACATATTTGCAAAATCTCAAATATGCTAATATAGAGCCCTGCTAATACTTGACAAAGTCAAGCTTATGATTTTCTACCCACTCAACTCTAGCAAGTGGGACTTTAAACAAGTTTTTAGACTACTAGTTTAAAAGTTTCCAGGGAAAAGAGCCCTTAGAGTTGAGGGTTTTTTGTTTGTTTTGTTTCATTTTTTTGTTTTCTGGTTTTGTTTTTTGTTTTCTGGTTTTTATTTTTAGTTTTTACTGATCTCTCCAATAAGTTTACTTCTGCAAATTGGAAATTGGAGAATGATTGGCATTGTTAAACCATGTAAGGGAGATCCATCTCTATCTGGTTCATGGGTAAAATACGCTGAGACAGGAGGCCATCAGAACTATCCTTAGATGGACGTTCAGGTGAGAAAGGAAATTGTCTGTGTGAGCCCCACCACCAGGGACTCTGGAATAGTTATGTCCTGGTCCAGATGTGAGACACGGAATTTTGAAGCAGAATCTCAGCTCTAAGCATGGTAGGCTGGGCGCACAGGCGACCATCCATCATGCACACCTCCCAGACAGCAAATTCAACCTGGGCTCCCATTTGTGTGATCCTATTTCCTACTGCACCTCTCACTAATGAGTGCCACAAACACCGAGCAGCTCAGGAAATGAATTACCACCTATATTAAGGAATGTAATATGTCTTGTTCCCGTGCTTTATGGAATTCACAAATACATGCTGACACCATCAGCTACAACCCCAGCCTGTAATTTCCATGGCGTGTGATCTGTCAGAGAAAATGCTGTCAGTTAGGGCATTTCAAATAGATGAAGAGTACAGAAAGCTATAGAAAAGACATTGGAAATCTAGTGAAACTGCACAAGTTGTGTAAAAAATGGAAAAGTAGATTATGATGGTCTCTTATTGGGTTTCACCCTCTGCTGTGGCTTCAAAAAAAAGGCAAAACATCATGCATTGAGAGAAGTCTTGGTCATAGAAACTTGAGGTGCTAGCTTTAGACAAGGAGGAGTGAGCCTAGCTACTTCAATTAAGAGGTTACTCTGAGATAGGTACTTGGTCATATTTTTTTGGCTGTCCCTAAATATCCCCCCTTTTAAATAACTCAGGAATACAGTCCTGTGATTCCCACTTTCTTTAGCAAATACATACTTTGTTTGAGTCATAATTAAAAATAATAGATTAGTTGCCAAGTGAAAAAAGTTATCTGCTATTATTTTATATTATTTTATATATTATATTATATCTACTTCTGGTTTCTTCTCAAAACATGGAATCCCCAAAATTGGGAAGCAATCTCAAATTGATTTATTCATTCACTCATCAAATATCTGCACATTGATTAATATTTGGAAGGCTCCAGAGATCCTATTTGCTGTCCTGAGGCTCACAATCTATAGAGGAGAGAATTTTAGGTTCTTAAAAACTTTAAAATGAAAGAAGGATTTCAACTAGGTGTCAGTGAAAGCTGCTCTTCCAGAAAGGTGGAATCTGGACAGAGATAGAAGTGAAGGGAAGGAGCCTTTCATATAAAGATCAGATGGGGAAGGACGATAACAGTGTGAAGTTTGTCGTGTTGAGACAACATGAGACAGCATGGCCGGGAGAGAACCAGAGGATGGAAGTGGGGAGCGATCAGAAGACAGGCTGCATCTGGTTCTCTGGGCACTTACAAAGAGAATGGCTTTATCATGGAATGAAGCATATTGATGCATGTGATCAGAACTATATTCTCAAAGATCCTTGCCTGTGATGGGGCAAGAGAGGAGGCAAGATATTCAGAGAGTATCAAATAGTGTAGGGAGATGCTGGCAGATTGTGCAGGAGGAGACTCCTATTTGGAGCACTCTGGGGAGCCTGTAGTGCATACGCATGAACTGCATAGAAGTGAGGGAGGAGGAAGAACCAAGGCTTAGGCCTAGGTTTGAGGCAATGAGCGATGGTGACAATGATGTCTTGCTGAGATGAGAAAAACTAGGAGAAGATGGGGGCGGTGGGAAATGAGGGATTCTGTCTGGGCCATGGCGAATGGAAGATCGGTCCTAAACATACCATAAAGTTGTCATAAAGGCTGGTGATAGCTGCTTTCAGCCTGAAACTGCAGGGACCAGGGGAAGAAGGGGGAAGTTTGAGGGGGAGTGATGACCACTTAGTGGGAGCCTTGCCCTCCGGTGGGGAAATGTTTTTGTTACTATCCCACAACCCTTCAGAGAGCATACTCAATCTTTCTCACTTTCAGTTGCTCTCAGCCTCTTGCCTTCAGCCAGTCACACAGAGCAACAGAGGACAAGGAGACCCTAAAGCCAACCTAGCAGGATGTGGAGGCGGAGTCTTTTGGCTGGTGTGTGAACTGGGGAAGAAGGGGATAGTAGTTGCTTTGGAGTGAGAAGGCAAGCATCAGAAAAACAGAGAAGCCACCAGGAGTGGGGAAAGGCTCTTGGAAGCCATAGTCAGGGTTTTAAACTAAGACCGGTGGGGTTCTGTTCTCCGGATCACTGAGATTGCAGGGTCAAGTGCATAGTTGTAACAAAGGACATTGCCAAGAGAATGCAATGGGGGCTTTCTTGGCTGGTGTAGCTTCCAAAGAACTGCCACTTAGCAAAAATTAACTTGTAGTTTAAAGAATCTGCCTCCTTCATCTGCAGCAGATGTCTTCTTGTGACCGTGGACACCATTAGCCCTTCATCTGCCTCATTAACCGCATCTGTCTGACTGTAGCATCTGCTTCGCTAAGTGAAAGAAGCCAAGAACAGAAGGACAAACATTGCACAATCTCACTTATATGTGAAACCTTAAAAAGTCAAGGCCATGTAAGCACAGGGTAGAATCGTGGTTACTAGAAGCTGGGGCAGGGACATCTGGGGAACAAGGGTCAAGGGACATAAAATATTAATTTAAATGAAAGAATAAATGCAAGTGATCATTGCAAAGTGCCAAGACCGTAGTTGGTTGAAAATAGGTTATTTTTTTGCATCTGCTTATTTATTTGTGTTGAATAGATGTGAGAAATTATTCACCTCGAAGGAAGGTGAGAGAACAACTTTGCTCCTTCTACCGCATGGGACGCAGGATCAACTCCAGCTGTCAGGGAGCAGGTGCTGCTACCTGCTGAGCCCTCTCCCTGACCCACAGCTTGAAGTTTTTAAAACAGTGTGTTGCATTCATGAAAATTTCTTTTAACAAATTTTCTTTTGGGGTAGATGTTAAATGTTCTCACTCCACATACAAAGTAACAAGTAGATGAAAGCCTGTGTGTTGGTTTGCTTGATTTCTCCATAACATAGATCACAAATACTTAGCTTTTCTCAGCTAAAAACAAAATATTTATAGGCTAGGGAGATGACTCAGCAGTTAAGAGCACTGGCTGCTCTTCCAAAGGTCCTGAGTTCAATTCTCAGCAACCACATGGTGAGTGACTCACAACCATCTATAGTAGGACCTGATAGCCTCTTCTGGTGTGTAGGCATACATACAGATAGAGTACTCATATACACAAAATAAATAATTAAATAAATCTTTAAAGAGGTTTAATATAAAGAACTGGGCTATTTTTTTCATTTGGCTCATCTCTCCATCTCTTGAGAGAAACATGTTTAAGACTTTCGGCTCCTGGACTTGAATCCAGACTCTGCCACTTTGTGGTGTGACCTTGAGCAGGCCACTTAATCGCTACTCACCTCAGTTTCCTTATCCGTAACCAAGCTTCCTTTAAAAAGGGTCGTTGAATATCAGATATATTAATGTTTTTACATGCTTAGAGCAGCCCCGGCCTATGGTTTGTTAGCTGTTATTACTGCTGCATTGCTGTTATCCGCGAGAGCATCTAAGGAAGTGGTTGGGAACTCACTTGCCTCAAGTAAATGGATGCCTCTTCTTGTCCCTCTTGTTTCAAGGCAGCCCACCATCCATTCATTTCTTACCCACAATGCCTTGCAGAGCAAACAGCTGCTTTTTCTGTTTTTGCAAAGGAGATGATGCCTGACATTTAAAGAAACAGTGAAGGAGCCCCTTGAGTTGAAAGAGCATTGGACTTGATGTAGAAATGTACACACTGTGGAAAACATAAAAGAACCTAGGAACTGTGTTTATTTCTTTGGCCTCCGTCGACAAATGGCTCTGTTTATTCCTGGCACCCAATTTCATGTTGGGAGTGGTAAAGGCATTAAGCCCAGGGTTTTGTTAGTTCCCGAATCCAGAGGGTTGGGAGGTCGTTCCAGTAAACTCTGTTACCTCCCCAGTGCAGATGCTTCTTTACTTATGATGGAGTGACACCCCAGTAAACCATCATAATTTGAAAAGAACTTAAGCTAAAAATGCATGTAACCTATTGAACATCACACCTTAGCCCGGATTGTCTAATGTGTTTGAGCATTGAACATTAACGTGCAGCTGGGCAGAGCCATCAACAAAGCCTATTTAATAGATTTGCCAAAGTTGACCGTCTCCTGCACTTAGTGACGCCTGTGCTGAAAATCCTGAGTGGCTGAACGGCCATGCCTCTGCACCAGCTCAAGCTGGAAGGGCTCAGCCCACCCACCCAGGTCCCCATGTTATTTCTCTGGATGCTGATGTTAAGTAGTTTCCAAAGCATCTTAGTTCTTCTCATTGAAACTAACTTTGGCACACACAGCCAGTTCACTTTGGAGTCCCAGATTGGCACTTAAGTCAGATTAGGGGACTTTGTTGTTATTATTGGTGGCTCCTCCTTGGGGCTCATTCTGCCCACCATTCCTCTCCTCATCCCATTCTAGTGGTCAGCTGAGTCTTACCCCAGAGAGAAAGAGAGACTTTTATTTATTATCTGTGCTAGGAGCAGACATAATGGGAATGGATCTCGCCAGCTTTGGGGTGGAATGGGCTTTGACTTCCAGGAGAGAGTCTTAGGGGAACCACTGGAATCTTTCTGTGGCCCCTCCTCCAGTAACTCTCAGTCCTCTCTGCCTTTGGCCAATGAGGAAAGGTGCTTGTGAAGTGGCAAAGATGACATTTAGGTTTGACCAAGGCCCATCATCCTTACGCCCCTTTAAAATGCATTCGAGTAAGCTGTGGGGATTTAGAATTGTTTTTAATGTATACTCCAGAGACTTGGGGCTATTACCCATATGTTCCAAGAACCAATGTTCTCAGAAATTACAGTCACAAGCTTAGTGTATCACACCAGCAAGAACTTTCTCCCGGTTCCTTTGCAAATAAAAGTTTATAAAAAGAAGCACCAACTCGAATCACAGAATGCTGGGTTTGAAGTGAATGGTCTTACAACAAACATTTCCGTCTGCAAATGTCTAAACTTTTCAAAAGATAAAAGGAAATTAAGCTTGGCATGTTTCATTAATTTGGCACCACCTCAGGGGACACGTGGTACTCATTTTACTTGGGTGGATTATGAGATGTGTCAGTTTTTCCGTTCTCTTTCTCCAGGGCATTTTTTTACTGCAAGGCCTGTCATGATGACGTCACAGATCCCAAAAGAATTAAAAAATGCGGCTGCAGGCGGCGTAAGTAGTGTTTCTTTCTCCCCTCCCTTCTGCTTTCCTTCCTCATCCCCAAATTCCTTTCCCTTCTCCTTTTCCTATAGAGGAACATTAAATACCAAGTGTTCTCTTGAATATGTTTGGATATTTCTCCCAACCATTTAATGAAACATGAAACAGACACCAGACCTTGCTTAGAGCAAAAGATGAAAAAGAAATCACAGTTGGTGCCCAGGCGAGAGGCTAGTACCTCCTAGTACTTTTCTAGAAGTAGACATGTCTGGCCCACAGTTAAACATCGTGGATGAAATGGAGGCTACCTACAGCTTTGGTGGAGGGAACGTTTTTATATCATGTTTACAGTAGACGGGGGAGGGTTCCCTAAGTTAAGAGACTATGTGTAGTCCTAGAAGGGAAGCAAGTCTCAGAACCCATTCTCCAAATAAAAGGAATGACTGTCTTTCAATTGGAATTCTTGTAGGTTCAGACTTAGATCACCCCAGGACAAAAGTACTGCTCCCAACAAGGCTACCAGTCACCGATGCGTACAGGCCATTGTGCTTTGCTTTATGGGGTGGACTGGACTGGGCTCAGAAGCTTCCAGCATAGACGATCCCAGTTGTCTTCCACCCCAGCTTTCCTCTGCACCCTCAGTGGTGACTCGGGAACACAGCTTATGAGCTCCACTGACGTCATGCTGTGAAACAGTCCTTGCTTTGGGGAGGCCCAACTTTTTGCAGCAATTAGACTGCACAGCCCAGTAGAGATTGTTCTGAACCCTAGAGAAAAGTCAGTGCAAGGCTGCCTTCCCTTCGATGGTTCAAGAAGCTCCTCGTGTTTGCTTTGATCCTCACCATGACCCTGTATAACTGGCTGTGCTTTATTTAATCCAGTTAAAACAACAATGACCCTTCCTTATTTAGTGAGACAATGGAATTGCTGATAATCATACAACCAACATTCATAGATTCCAGTCCCCTAAGGCCTGCCTGAGTCCTGTGGTTTCAGTGCCCTGATCTTTTTTACAGGAGGAAGGATATCTTTGGGCTAAATGAATTGGAAGAGAGTTATAAAAAAAAATCCCTCTCATAAAATATCATTTTACAAGAAGCTAGTCAAAAGGCCACCATTCCTGGGCTATGCCACCCAAGGGTCTTGCCACTGTGCTGCTTGAAGGGGATGTGATAACCAATAAGACTTAGGATGATACTGCCTGAGCATCAATACACTGGTCTTCTGGGAAGCAACATTGGGCAGTACTTGGTCTAGAGACATTTCTGTAGATGTCTTCTCGGACTCCTTTCCACACACCAGTTTAGGCCAGGTTTTTAGCATCCATGGTTTGCATTCCCAAACTCTGTCCTATACCCAGAAGGATTTCCTGATTCTCTCAATCCTCAAGGACGAGCATCTGAGTGGGTTAAAGATGTCGAAGAAAGGTCATTATCAGGTCAGCCCCCGGGCTCCAGGACTCACTCCCGCTTCTCACCAGGTGCCCGGGAACTTAGCCATGCAGCAGGCATCCTCACAATCATTTCCTTCAGAAGGAACAGGCCATCCTGAGGCTAGATGCAGGCAAGAGAAGCACTAGAGCAAGAGGGTGAACTCAGTAAGGAGACTCTCATAGTGGCGATGGGGACAAAATGAATGGGAGAATGTTGAGGCCAATAATCCACGCAAGGGTGTTTTTATAAGCAAATCCATCCCTTTGGGAGCCTTAGTAAAGTGGCAAGGCTTTGGCGTACTAGGTAAGCATCCATTCATGTGCTTTTGTGTAACCTCTTCATGCATGGTCTCTTCTTGGTGCCTGCGGTGGAATGGTGAATGAGATCCCTTCCAAACCTTCTGTCAGGCAAAGAGACAAACCCATGCCATGTTGAGAAATATATAAATTCATAGAGACCCACATGCTAAGACAAGAAAGAAAACAATCTGAGGATGCCAGGGCTCTTATAGGAAGGCTATGACTTCATAGCTTGACTGGTCCTTTGGGAGGTGATAGTGGAGTTGAAACATGGGTGGGGAGAAGAGCAAGAGACTAGAATCAAAAGCAAGAAGCCATTTGCAGTGTTCAGAGGATGGGTGGAGGGCCTTTGGTGTCTGGAGCATCTGGAGAGAGAGGTCCAAAGTGAGATCATACTAGAAAGCAGAGATGATGCTGAGAAGCTAGATCTTAGTCCTGTGCCCAAAAGCTACCAGGTGATTTTGGGAAAAGAAATGACATCATCAGGTCTCAGCTGAAAAGATTTCCTTTGCATCTGAATGGGGGATTCACTCTGGAAGGCAGAATGGAAAAGGCAAGATGAGGAAAGAACTCTGATTCACTCTCTGTGAAATTAGAGTGTCTCCCATAGGACCCCTTAGTATATTATTATGGCATGCCCCTTTTAAAGTTCTTACAAATAAGGATTTGACTTCCAAGGTATTTTTCTCCATCTCTGCTCCAGGCAAGCAAACAACAGTGAACCTGTAGCTCCAATCTTTTGTGAAAACCACACTGTTATTTACAATCACTCCATCCCCTCATTTCCATTCATAAACTAAGCTAGTGAGTGTAATCTCCTATCATGCACAAAATCATTGCTGCAAAAGGATGGCCTCCTCCAAGCTGCTCTTAAGAGTGTCAAGGTTATGGAATGAGTGGTTAATATTTGATAATAATCAGAATTGTCCAAATGTTGTTATTCCCAATTAAAAGGTCATAGCCTGGAGGACAGGATGCAGATATGTCTGGGAGGATTACAATAAAATGAATAATTGAATATAAACCTTCTCACGAAGGTCAGGAATTGAAGAAATTGGAGAAGATATGTTTGGCTGTGAAGAAACCTTCATGAGATATAGTTAGCATTGTTAATAGCATATGGTCATAAGAAATATAGCAAAACTGGAAAGGACAGTTGTTCCACCCTGTTATTTATCCAAACCTGTTAGTGCACCAATTAATAATTCACCATAAAATGATGTAGTTGTGTGAACACAAAGCTAATAACAGCCCCCAGAATTTGTGTATATTTCCTAACCCTCCTGTCCCTACCCCGTTTTTCCTTCCCAGTCTCTCCCTTACCCTTCTCATTCCTCTTCATTCAGTAACCTCCAGTGTTCCGTGTCCTCTCTGGGAGAAGTCCGGCACATGGCTATTCCATCTGTGGAGATCCCATCGTGGTAGTCTAGTTTAACGTGTGCATTTCTTCCCATTTCCTCATAGCTCTCCATCCATCCAGGAAGCGAGTCCAATTCAGATGTCTAGCCAAGGAGAAGGCTCTCAGACTCTGCCATTGACTCATTTTCTTTTTCTGTGCCCCAAACCTGGTCTAATCATTTACACTTCCCTCCCAGCCTCTGAAAAGTTGCCAAGGGTACTCTCCTAAGGGACAAGTCATGTTTAGATTGATGTGTGTGAAGGACTTTTCTTTAATTTCTAATCATTGACATGTCTTTGATTTATTTTGTTTCCTCTTTGCTGCCTTGGAATACGACCCCCACTCTATCTTAACTGCACCCTGGTAGTGATCTATTGTGAGTAAAGTGCGTTCCCCGCAGCCCAGAGTCCAGTTTTCCTGCTCTTTCTCTAGATGAGATACTTTTTTCTGTACAATTTCAGTTTCATTTTATTTTTGGTATTCGTGTTGCATGTAGCAGTTACATCATGCCCCAACTCACTCATGCCCCAACACAGTCCTCGTAGAGTAGCCAGGAGCTGGAGAGTGCCCAGAGCCCACTCTCCATGCATCCGCTCATTCCCCAGCCTCCAGCAAGCTCTGGACATGGTCTTATTTTTTCCATTCGAAAATAAGACCTTGACAACAGTGTGTTTCTCTTGAAGGCCTCACCTCAGGACTTTTAAGGGACACGGATTAGGCTGGAGTAACTACCACTCTATCTTTAGATGCTTTGTCCATCGGGGATCATGGTCATGCTTGCCTTTGATAAACTATACTTGTTTTCCCCTGCTATGGAGCTTCAGTTCCCCTCCTGGAGGAAAAACATAGGCTACATATATATTCCTGAGCTGTGATATATATGATATGCACCAGTAGTTTATATGTAAAAATGCATATTTTTATATATAATCATAGGGAGATTCCATAGAGAGAGGAATGTGTTGATCATATTATATGTGCCTCTCTGTACAAGAAGGTGCTTGCTGGATATTTAATTGAGTACTCCTTTGGGACTGTAAGTATCTGCCTTTCTGGAGACAAGTGGTCATTATTTCCTACAGTCTATGAAGTTGCCTTGCTTTTAAGTACAACTTCTCCTTTAGTTATCACCCACTAGTACCTCCACAGTTCCTCTGTGAATGTTAGGCATCTGGAGGATCAATGTGCTTATTTTGAAGGAAAAACATTGGTTAACTAAGGGAGAATGCTCCTTTTCATGAATGAGCCATGTAGGAATCTAAATGAGACAATACAAGTCTCTAGACCTCTCTAACTTACTCAAGGCATAGGATTCAATTTATCCAACCAGATGTAATTTTTAAGGCCAGTATTTCTATGTGTGACCTACAGCTGTAATGCTAGCTATCATGGGCACTAGCCGCCAGCATTGGGTCTTGACTTCCAGACATAAGACTCTATGGAAAGAGGAAGGAGACCCAGTCTGCAACTCATTGCGTTCATTGGCTCTGGAATGTGGAGGTGTTTCAGCACTGGACCTCTCATGTTCCTTTGTAGAAGAACAAGAAGAAGCAAGTTGACAGCTTGAGTTCTGGTAGTTTTCATGTGTGCAAAGTCTCTGATGTTCTGTGTAGTGCCAAACCAAAATAATGATCTTCAGTGCGACACACAGTTCGGCCCACGTTGGCTCTGTGGAATGTATGTGGACGTGTTGCTTCTGCACCCCTAGATTTTCATGCTCTAGCAGTCTTTGAGAACTAGAGGGCTACAAAATGCCAGTCAACAAACAACTCCATTGGCAAAGTCTCCCACCTTTCCCAGCTCCAGGGTGATTGGTGCGAGTCAGATCAACTAGCTGGGTGTGGGCTCAGGGTTGCTGACTTTAATCTTTGCCCTTACCTC